TTTTTTATATTATTTCTTTTTTTTATTTATTTAAAAATGATGATAAATTAGTCATTTTATAATATTATAATGGAGAAAATTAATGATAAGGACATTTTAAATAAAGAAATGTCGATTTGAGTGTTCAAATGTCAAAACTGAAAGGATGGGAACTATTTAAGCAATTAAAGGAAATGAAACAAACATTTGGAATCAAATTATACATATTTAACTGAATATGAAGGAAAGGACCAATTTTGCAAGAAATGTTTAAAATGAGAGTGTAAATGGAGATAGGGACCATTTTTGCAATCAGTACAAATGATAGGGATGTTTTTGCTAATTACCCATATATCTAACACCAGCTGAATTGAATTGATGTAATTTAACATGTACACAATTATAGATGATATTTTCGTTTGAGCTAAACTGTTAATTAATCACTACATGCATAGATTGTGACATAATTATGCCATGTCTACATCGATGGAAATGAAGAAGGGAGACCGTTGATTAGTCAGCATTTTCATATTCCCGTCATTCTTCGAGCATAGTCTTGACCTTATAATACTTCAGATCTTCTAATTGGATGGTGTACCTCGTATTCAGTCATTATGCATTCTAGCCTCTTGGATAATCAATGCTCTGCCGTAAATAGCTTTTACTGTGTAACTGGATTATATCTGCACTTGCAGAATTTGCTGACCAAGGCACCTAACGCTGTATGGAGGAGCTTAGACTCAGTTCATCCTGGAAGCCAATCTCAACACAATCTAGCATCAGCAAAATCAGAATAATGTCTATTAACTTATACGCTATTATAATTGATATTTTCGTTATGATAAACTGTTAATTAATCAATACAAGTATAGTTATCAAGAACTAATTATTCCCAGTCAAAATCGATGGAAGTGGGTAAGGGGAATAGCTCCAGACATCATAGACTAGTCAGCAATTTTAGACTTCTCACATTCTTGGATCCATTCCACTCTGATGGTCCATTTAATTGTCCTACTAATATCAGTGAAACAGCGGTCTAAGCATGCAAAGAAATTAGAAGCATAATGTTGACTTTGTATTGCCAACTGAATGCAGAGTCTCTAATGGCAATTTCTCAATTTTCACGCGCGCTTGGCTAACGAATAAAAACCTTGGTCCGCTTTCGTTCTTTCCATTCAATAACCCATTCCAAGTCAAGAGACTAGGGTGTTCATACTGGACACCTTATAGTCAATCAGTATGCTTTGATGCTTCTGTGTATTTCCTGTATTATTATATTAAACAAGAAAAACAGAAACAGGCAGACAGGACTTTATCCATGAGAAAACAGAAAAAAGATTTCCCCTTTCTTTTTGTCTTGACATTTTTAATGTCCATCAAGACATTTTCCAGTGCAACGGATACTATAACTACGACACAAATCCTTAGAGATGGTGAGACCCTCGTTGCATCTGGTGGAAGCTTTGAATTGGGATTTTTTAGCCCTGGAAATTCCAAGAATCGATACGTGGGCTTGTGGTATAAAGAAATAACAGTTAAAACTGTAGTATGGGTCGCCAACAGAGAACTACCACTCATAAATACATCAGGAGTCTTAAAGGTTATCGAGCCAGGACTTCTAGTTCTTTTAGACAATGCTAATGGTCGCATCATATGGTCCACTAATACATCACGAAGTGTGAAAAGTCCAGTTGCAAAGTTGCTGGACTCAGGAAACCTTGTTGTAAAAGATGCAAACGATGCTGACCAGGGGAATTTCCTATGGGAGAGTTTTAATTATCCAACTGATACAATTTTACCAGGGATGAAATTCGGTTGGAACCTTATAACTGGGCTAGAGGTCTATCTATCATCATGGAAGAGCAATGATGATCCATCTTCAGGAGATTTTACATATCACTTTGATCCTACTGGTTATCCACAACATGTCTTGAGAAAAGGTTCTGCTGTACAGTTTAAAACTGGACCTTGGAATGGACTAACCTATAGTGGGACGCCAAACTTGAAGAAAAATCCTATTTTCAAATACAAAGTAGTTCTAAACAAAAATGAGGCGTATTATACTTTTGATCTCCTGAATAGATCAATTATTTCAAGGTTTACATTGAGTGGTAGTGGTGTTGGACAGCGCTGCATGTGGGTTAACCGAACGAAGGAGTGGGTTGTCTACATTACTTCTCCAACAGATAATTGTGATGTCTATAGATTATGTGGTGCATATGGTAGTTGCAATATTGCAAATTCTCCTGTTTGTGGATGTTTAGATAGATTTCAGCCTAAAGATCCAGGAGGATGGGAAAATGCAGATTGGTCGAATGGCTGTGTTCGCAGAACTCCCTTGAATTGCCAAAATGGAGATGCATTTCTCAAGTACTCTGGTATTAAATTGCCAGACACACGATATTCTTGGTTTAATGAGAATATGACATTAAATGAATGTGAGATGGTGTGCTTAAATAATTGCTCTTGTATGGCTTATATTAACTTGGATATAAGCAGGGGGGGAAGTGGATGCCTACTTTGGTTGAAAGACCTGATTAACATCAAAGAGCTATCCGAAGGAGGACAAGATATCTATATTAGAATGGCTTCTTCTGAATTAGGTAAAAATTCGATAGACAAAGTTTAATCTATCATTAAACACATTTATTGTTTTCTTTTTTTCCTTTATAGACTATCTGTATACTTCTGACTTACAAAAAAATCCAATTTATTTATATATAGAATTTGCAGACATAAAAGGAGGGAAAAGAGAAATTCTTGTAGTAAGTTTGTCAGTGTTGATCGGATTGTTTCTGCTTGGTTTGAGTCTGATGCTCTATCTTCGAAAAAGGAAGAAAAGTAACCACATACTTAGAGAAGGAGGTAAGCAAAATCTACAGTTTTCTACCAGAAACAATTGGAGAAACCAAGATTATCTATATTCTAAAACCGGAAGCCTTATTTTTCTTTTCTCAATCAAGTTACATCCAATTCATTGCTTATGTTTCAGGCAGTCCAGGACACAACTGTACGGATAATCACAATTATGGAAGTCACAACAAAGACATAGAGCTACCACTGTTTGACTTGTATACAATAATTAAAGCTACTGATAATTTTTCAATTAACAACAAACTTGGAGAGGGTGGGTTTGGACCTGTTTACAAGGTAATATGAGTTTTTTTGTGCATACATGGCATACTCTACACTGGGGATTGATTCTCTCAGAAGTTATATCACGTCTAAACTTTATTGATTTTTAATTGACACAACAAAACACGAATGCATCAATGCCATGATAAGTCACATGTGAAATTAGATTTCCGTCGTGCAAAAGGAATGTCTTTTACATGTACAAATTCTCATATAGGGCCTGCTGGAAGAGGGGCAGGAAATTGCTGTAAAACGGCTATCAAGAACTTCCCTTCAAGGACTTGATGAGTTCAAGAATGAAGTTATCTATATAGCTAAACTTCAGCATCGAAATCTCGTGAAGCTTCTAGGATGGTGCACACAAGGAGATGAAAATATGTTGATTTACGAATACATGCCTAATAGAAGTCTAGACTTGATTCTATTTGGTAAGAAATCTTCATCTAGCATAATCAGCTCAATATCACATTCAATCAAGAATACGAGTTATATATAATGACATAAAAGAGTTTCATTAACATTTTTCATATGCAGAAGCAAAAAAATTAAAAAATAAATAAATAAATAAATTATATATATATCAAATAAATATATAAATAAATCTGATCAATTGTAAAATATGATGCACAACATTAGACTAATGTTACAGATGCATTTTCACACAATTGCGCTTCAAGATATTTGCTTGTAGATATTTGAATTGATTTTTAATTTCTAACTATCCAACATACAAATCATTCTCATGACAAAGAAAAACTTTTTGCAGATCCAGTGGGAAGTGCACTGCTTGATTGGCCTAAGCGCTTCCACATTATTAATGGTATTGCTCGAGGACTTGTATATCTCCATCAAGATTCTTGTCTCAGAATCATACATAGAGACCTCAAAGCTAGCAATATTTTGCTTGATTCGGACTTGAACCCAAAGATATCGGACTTTGGCATGGCTAGAAGTTTCAGAGGAAATGAGACTGGAGCTAACACGAGTCGAATAGTTGGAACATAGTAAGAATCTTAGAGCTTGTTTGGAAAGTATTTATAATTTTTTGTTTATAACTAGATACAAATGAGTAGTGGGTAATACTTATGGGTCTCACAAAAAGTGTGGATAAAAATTGGTTTGACCAATTTTTGATGGTTTATAAATGGTTTATAAGCCCTTGCCAAACATAATGTATGAAATTCTCTTCTATGTCTTATAACTTAATTGATAAATTTTGTCATGTAGCGGCTACATGTCACCAGAATATGCAGTAGATGGATTATTTTCGATAAAATCAGATGTATTTAGCTTTGGTGTTCTAGTGCTTGAGATTGTAAGTGGCAAAAGAAACAGAGGATTTTCTCATAGGGATCACCACCACAACCTTCTTGGGCATGTAAGTATTTAATGAAATTAGTACTGTTAGCACTTAGATCTAAAAATTGTTCTCTTAAGGAGTTCAATTGGTACAGGCGTGGATGCTTTATAAAGAAGGAAGGTATATGGAATTAGTTGATGCTTATCTTGGCTCCGTCCATTTATCAGAAATGCTGCGGTCGATCCATGTGGGATTATTATGCGTTCAACAAAGTCCAGAAGATAGACCAAACATGTCTTCAGTAGTGATGATGTTGGGAAACGAAGGAGTATTGCCTCCAGCTAGACAACCCGGTTTTTTCACAGAAAGAAATTTATTTACTGTTGAAAGAACAACTAGCAATAATGCAGCAAGTTCAATAAACCAAGTGACGGTAACACAGCTGGAAGCACGATAATGGAGAACATTGGTTACCTTAGTAGTGCTCAATTTTCCTTTCATTTAAAAAAGAAATATTTTTTCCTTCAGCCAGTGTGCTAAGCAGAGAATCTCCTCCATTATATACATCGGTTCTTCTTTATAAGTTACAACACTTATAGAAATCGGATGTAACATGTGTCTGATTGCTTCCTCCTAGCCCAAATTACAATGTCATAAAAATTCATGTTTTGTACCAGATTAAGACATTGTTGGCTGGTCGGGTTGGCTGTCTAGGTGTTGACATGTTTGTTATAATATTAAAATTTGATGAATCAAACAAATAAAAAAGCCTCTGTAAATTAAGCCATTTTTCAGCAACTCACAACCTCCAGGTGTTGCACTGTATGATTTGAATACAAAGGGATACATCTTAAATGATATATATTATAGCAGCGTGACTTGAAGAATGTTCAGGAAATTATTATGTATCCTATTGATGTTAAAATAGTAATTTTATTTGAATTTGTCTGAATATAGATATTTCTAGATCAAATTGAACGACTTGGACTGCTTTTTTATAATATGGTACAGTGAGACGAGTTTGGTTCGCAATTACAGATGAACGAGAAAATTTAAAAGAAAAAAAAATGAGTTGAAACATGGAAATGATCAGAATGTGTGATTCAATTTGAATGTAATCTAATTCAATTTTGGGATCTCAAATAAGACCATCAAAGGATTGGATGTAGGATGATTCAAATTTCAGATTAATTTCACATGAATCATATTTTACTGTGCTAACATTTTTCTTCAGTCACAATTCTTTTGTCGAGTCTATGAATTTAATTAAATTATGTTAAAACTTTCGCTAACTCTCTGGTTGTCCATGTTACTCCCCTGTTGAATCTCTATCTGGTTTATGCTCATTTACTTGTACTGGACCTATTAGCCTCAAAATTACAAGTTTCTTCATTACTGGAACCCAAAACTATGCTATCTAAAATGTTAGAGACAGCATAATTTTGTAAGAAAAATCTTGGTAACAATTAAGGCACTGGGGGAGCACTCGTGAAATTGGACAGAGGTTTAGTAACTCAGTTGCAAGTTGTGTTTGTCAGGTGCCACTACAAATGGAAATCAATTTTATTTTTTTTTTCCTTTTTTACCATTATACAAGTTTATCAATCAAGAATATGAATACCTATAATTAATTGCATGCAATTGCTTTCTCTCTCTCTCTCTCCTTTTTTTTTTTTTTTTTTTTTTTTTAAATAATTCTGGAATTGGGATATAACAGACCTTCGTGAAGAACAAGAATTGAACTAATCTTACCACGCAACATCTGAAAAGAATATTTTTCTGAATTTAATCAATATTTTAGCATATAAGTGATTGATTCTTCCATAATTATCACACTATTCGACCTCTCTATCTGCCTTCTAGATCAGTTACTGAGATTGTATATGTGTTGGCCTCTGATGCACCGGTTTTTTCATTAAAAGAACTCCTTTCCATGAAAAATCCAGGTTCCTTGGGTTCTGGAAGAATTGCTCCCTCCTCACTTCCTAACATGAAAAGCACAGAGGACATTACTGGCCTGTCTTCTGCGTGTTTCTGAACACATAGTAAGCCCACATGTATGCATCTCTTTACTTGGCATTCAACAAATGAATCTTTCAAACATTCATCCATTAGTTCCAAAGCCTTGTCTTCATTCCAAAGGAGCCATGCCTGTGAAAATTGCTCGAGTAAGACAAGTTTTGTTGCTAGCGAGAAACAGTATATGTGTATTATGAATTACAAAATGCTAACTTGGAAAGTGAAATTCGATTTGTTTGCGCTACTCACATGTCCTAAAAGGCTGCGATAGTGATCTAGATGTCTGAAACCTCTGTTCCTCTTGCCACTCACTATTTCTAACAAGACAACTCCCATGCTGAAAACATCTGATTTTACAGAGAACTTCCCATCAATAGTATACTCTGGAGCCATATAGCCACTGTGCAAATATATTGGTTATGAGATATTGTACAAACAATTATATGTTTTGCTCAAGTTAAGGAGAAACTTACTATGTCCCAATAACTCTTTTTGTTCTTGCAATACCAACACCCCCTCCAAGAATTCTTGCTAAGCCAAAGTCAGAAATTTTTGGATTCAGATTTTCGTCTAGCAAAATATTGCTTGTTTTGAGATCCCTGTGGATAATCTTTAATCTGGAGTCATGGTGAAGATAGAGCAAACCCCGTGCAATCCCCATAATAATGTCAAACCGCTTAGGCCATGTCAATATTGTCCTTCTTTCTTGATCTGTACCAAATTGAACGCTTTCTGAGTGTCAAAAATCCTTGAAACTAAAATTAATTATTCAAAACAAATCAATAAGATAAATGGTTTCTTAGGTCAAACCAAAAATAAAATTATCCAAGCTTTTGTTCTGCATGTACTCATAGATTAACATTCTTTCATCTCCTTCAGTGCAGCACCCCAAAAGTCTGACGAGGTTTCTGTGTTGGAGTTTGGCAATCAAACTCACTTCATTTTTGAATTCTTCAAGACCTTGTCTGGATGTTTTGGACAGTCTTTTTACTGCTATTTCTTGTCCATCCGGTGAGCTACCCTGAATATACAAATTGTTGATCTTATATATTTATACAATGTGCAAACTTGTACAACTCGTGAGTTGTGTCCATTACCCTGTAAACCTGACCAAAACCGCCTTCGCCAATCATGTTTTCGCTGGAGAAGTTATCTGTAGCAGCCACGATAGTTGCCAAATCAAATGAAGGTAAATCCAAGTCTTCAGTTTTCCTTTCTCCTGTGAAGCAAAATTTGCCTTAGGTTACCGTTTAAAGCTGTTCTCCATGTTAATTATTCATTCTTATGCAGTCTGGGTTAGTATTGTTACCTTGTCTCATTAATCTTATCTTTAGAAGTATTGCCCCCAAGATTATGCCACAGATGAGCACTCCAACAGCAGTCAACATGAAGATTAGCTTTCCAGGCTTTTTCTTTTTCTTATTCTTATCTGAATCATTGTCCGACTCTACAAATAAAAAGACCAGCTAATGTAATCATTCTTCACACATGAATCATGTTTTAATTAACTTGCTATCTATTGTTGCTGCTATATCCTACCATGAACAGGATTGGTCGATGTTCTTTTTTCTCTGTTCTGCCTTATGAAACTTGATTATAAAATTAGGCTGCATACTGTGACGTTAGCCTTTAGAAGTTCATACTAATGATAGCCAAGGATCTCCACTCTGTTCTATGTTAGACCTTCCTTTCCCACAGGTAAAACGAGTTTTCACGCTTTCAACAGCGGAAAGCTCTCAATTGAACTCAGGACACTTGGACCGTGTCTATTTATTTATATGAACATTTCATTCTTATCTATAATTAACATGAGCCAAAATAAGGTTTATTCATGAGTTTGTCACGATCTTATTTGTAAAACCTGGACCAGACCAGGTGGTCCGACTTTTAAACGAGGAACATGTGCCATTGCATGTCAACAGGTCGACCTTAGGTACCTTCATGGAATCAATGGTCGGGCCGAGTTTGATAAGTATTCATAAAGAACGTTACCTAAATATTCAATCCAACGTAACTTTCAGATTTAACAGCATGCCATATATTTTCCAGCTAAGATATGCATTTCTTAGAAACTAAAAGAGATGTCTTAAGAAGTTTTTACCAAATAGGCTTACCTAGTTCTGAACGTGGCAAGCGAATATGGAAGTTCAACATGCTATCTGCTCCAGGAACCTCTCTGATATCAATCAAATCCCCATACCACATCAGGCACCCAGTGACTCCATCACCTATAACCGGAGTAGCAAAAGCTGTACAAGAACAGCTTTGGGAACACTGTGCTTGACATACATCAAAACTCATATTAATGTTCAACTGAGACTGCAACCTATCAGGAAAGTTGGCACCCACCTTTTGAAATCCATCTCCATTCTGGCAATCCAGTGGCCTAATTCTAGAGCATCCACTCGACCAGTCTTGTACATTCCAATCCTGTTGAGACCTGGGTGAGAATCCCTTCAGACACTCGCATATTGGTATTTTATTAATTTTGCAGATAGCGTTAGGACCACACCGACCATAATTGTCACATGAATCACGGGGTATTGTCATAACAAGATTCCACTCATTTTTGCCCTCGTTCATCATATAGCGCTGCAGATAGCCTGATTCGTCTAGAGTTAATCTTGTGATGGATGAACTGTTATCATATACTAAAACCCTGTCTTTATTTAATGCCAAGTTCGGTTTAAAAGGTACTGTGGGAAAGAAAGGGAGATTACTGAAGTAATGCCCATTCCATGGGCCACTACGGCATCTTTTTACCTGCTTGTTGTAGATCACAAGTTCAACAAGGCCATGATTTTCAATCCTGTAAGTAAAATCTCCAAGAGATGGATCATCAGTACTTCTCCAAGAAGTCAAATATCTATCTTGTTCGGTACCAGGGCTGTCTACCATCGCCATTCCTGGTAACCTGGTGTTACCAGGGTAATCAAAACTCTGCCACATGTAGTTTTTTGGAGAAGTTCCATTTGTGTTGTCTATTAGTACAAGGTTTCCAGTGTCTAAGAGCTGTAAAACTGGAGTTGATGCAACAAACGACAAATTTGACGACCAGATAATTCTTTCGCCTCTGCTGAGAAGTAAAGTTCCATTTCTGCTTATATTCAAGATTCCCTGTGAGTCTGTAATGGGCTGGTTTCTGTTTGCAGCCCAAACAACGATATCCGGGGTAGTTTTATACCATATCCCTAAAAACCTGGCATTGAGCTTACCAGGGGAGAAGAATCCCAGCTCGAACATTTGGCCCTGAGAAACTAAAGTCTGCCCATCGCGGATTACTTGATTTGCAGAAAGTGTATCTACTGCTAGAGAGAATTTTAGAAACGCTAAAGCATAGGCAAGAGCGCCGAGAAAAGATTGGGATTGCGCCATTTTCTTTTAGAACTAAGAATCGAACGGATTAATGTGTACATTTAGATGAAAGATTTATCATTGATGATTAGCTGACGATGAATGAGAACGTGCCATTATTGTCTTGAAGCATTATTTTGAGCATGATGATAATGACCATTTTCCATGTAATAGACGACTTCGATGACATTAAAGACTGAAAAGTCAAAAAGTTTTGTTTGGAGGGTGACTATGATGGGTTTAAATTTTAAGTGATTAGTACTTATGACTATCACAAAATGCGTGAAATTTTTGATCGATTATATACAGATTATAAACCGTGTCAAACAGGAGGTTATTTTCAATAACTTAAGGTCAATTTCATTAATTCATTTCACACCTTTCAATCGTGGCAAATACTGGAGTGATCAATTTTTTTTTGTCAAGCACGTTTTTTGACTTTGCTTACAGCCAAAACTTTGGGTTTTTTCCATGGAAAAAATGGTAATGAAGCTTCTGCTTTGAAATTAGGCAACGTACGTGGCTACAATAGGCGGAGTGTGGTCCTCTTAACCTAACAAAACCACTAATAAACATAATCTAATCTCAAACAGAAAAACTCAAGACGGATTTTGGCACTAGCTAAGATATGATCTTCACAATTGATCCCTCACAATTGGAGTCCAAAATTACTGCATCAAATTTGGCATCTGAGGTTGCGGGTTCATCTGCCTCAACCATGTTAAGACCACTGAATTTGCTGAGGGCGGTAGAAGAGGCTTCGATCAAGTCCATGGTTCACTCAAAAGATTGCAGCAAGGAATTGTTTCTGGTGAAGGAGATGCATCTGCAGTGATTCCAGACAATGGCAAACTCACCATAGATTCTTAATCCCTATGTTCAAGATTGTTGAAACTGTTTCCAATTCTGATTCGAACCAGCGAACTATATTTTTACTCCATGAATACGATTAATATTTTATGCTATTGTTGATACACTTCTGGAATCAGTTTTCTAATAATCCATCGAATTGGTTGGTGCTTGTATCGATTACAAATTCCTATTCTTCTTTATGATATTCACCAAAAAAAATTCATGATCTACATTAAAAGCAAAAAACATACAACAAAAACCAGGAAATATTTCAGCCAAAAATATACTCCAAAAACATACAATATATTTTTTTGTTAATGTAGATTATGAATTTTTTTGGTGAATATCATACCTATTTTTGTTAGAATTAATTATCAAAACCGTCAATATTTTCTTGTTAATGTAGATTATAGATCAACTATGGAAAGAATTGCAACAAAACTCAAGTATATTGCAAAATGTCTTCAAACGTTCCATGTTCCAAAATTATTTCGTAGTATGAAAATGATAATAGGAAAGCATTCCTAAATATCGAGGACGGATGATATCAATTTTATGAGTTTAGTAACTAAAACTCAACCACCCTAAAATATAGTAAGCAATCAAATACATCTTTAAAAGTATAGTAAGCAATCAAAGATGTCTTTCAAGGTACAATTAGCAATCGAAGAAGCTTTTTCTTACTTGACAATCTGGTGTTTTGTGAGTCACGTTGATAAGTGCAATTTGTGTATTTATCTATATCGTATTATTAAACTTTTACGTCGTCAAATTATTCATTTTTATCTAACTTAGGTTAATTTTTATTTTGACAAACCCGTTTGAAGCATTTGGAAAAGGATGAAGGATTAATTAGCTATTTGATGCAAAGTTTGGAGATCAAATTTTATAATTTGAAAGTTGAGGACTTGGAGAAAATAATTGATTAATTGGGCCTCAATTGGAACTTGAATCGGAAGCAAATTTTACAATTTGAATGGATTTTCAATTGGACTCCAACTTAGAGGACTTGGGGGATTAATTCTAGGGAAATTTTCATAAGTAAGATTTTAAATATCACACATTTCAAAATTAAGAAAACAAATTTCAAACTTCAAAAATTAGATTTTTATTAAATTTTATTTATGATTTAATTAATTAATTAATTATATTTATATCACGGATTTATACAATTTGGTCACAAATTAACGATTTAATTAACATCTTATTAATTTTCGGTCACAAATCAGAAATTTTATGTTACAAATTATTTTACGGCCACAATTCAAAAAATTTATAAGTCGCAGTTTATTCATCAGTCACAAATCAAAAAATTAATGAGTCACGATTTATTCATTGATCACAAATCATGAATATTATAAGTCACAATTTATTATACAGTCACAAATTATCGATCACAGATTAATAATTTTTAGGTCACAAATTATTTATTAGTTACAATGTATATTATTTATTAGTCACAAATTAATCAATTTAATTGGTCACATTTAACCAAATAATTTGTGACCAACACTTGTGATCACAACCACCGACCCGACCACGACCACCAAAATCACCACCGACCACCACTGCCAGATCCACCGCGCCAGACAGCACCTCCACCACCAACAAACACCATTACAAGCCTCCAATAATACCTAGCACCTCAGAAAACCCATCACCACCGCACCATACCCTCCACCCACCTTGCAACACCACCACAAACACCATCACCTCAAAAACATTGCTGCACAACACCCCATCTTCACCTACCACACCACCACCAGCACCTCCACCCATAGCGACGTGACGCCACCAACTCCGACCACAAAGATGCAACAATTTTTTAACAGATGCCCCAATCCACAACCATTAACACCACATTCACCTGCTGCCACATCGAATCGCCGACTACAACCATCGAACCACCATCTTCCCACAGTCATGAGTCGATTTCCACCACCACAACCACATCTACATCACCTCTAAAAACCACCACCACCACATTCACCCTAGATATCCACCGAATTGTCGACTACAATAGTCGGACCACCATCTTCCCTACAGTTGAGACTTGATTTCTTCGAGTTGTTGATGCCCCCACGATCTCCACGACCACCACTTGCTACAGTTCGCGGTGCTGCTCGACCATGTTCCGATGGCAGCTTGTTTGGCGATGGTCGATTTGTGGGAATGACCTTCGGTGGCGGTGTTTCTGGCAAAGAGAGAGAGAGAGAGATAGAGGAGTTTCCTGTGAGAATAGAGAGATAGAGGGGGTTGAGAGTGAAATAATTAGGGTTTGAAAAATTGTTTTAATTTTTAAATATATTAATTAATAAAAAAAATTCTGATTTCTGAAATATTAAACATGGCATCTTATTTAAGAAATGGGAATTTCAAATCTATTAGAATCTATAATTTCCACTTAATTCTATATAGAAACAAATTAATTGGTGGGCTGGAGATATATATATATACATACATCGCGTTGGCAGCTAGGGGAAAAAAATGAAAAAACATTGAAGGAAGGCTAGAGGCTATTGGTGAATTATATATTCATGGCAGCCAATTGAAGGAAAGAGGTAGAGAATCTTTTGGAGACAAAACCATTAATAAGGCAGCCAACTTGGGGAAATTCTGGAAGAAAAACGGCGGCTGAAATTGGATTGAAAAAGGGCTGCTAAATTAATACAATTGCTGAGAGAAAATAAACAATTGGAATTTCACTCTTTTGGAGTCAACAAAACCGGCAGAAGGAGGGGACAAATCAGCAGTTGGATTGAATTATTTTACATATAAATTAAAGTAGCTGCTTGGGGAAACTGGATATATATATTGGAAGGAATCTACTTATACATGCATAGCGAAAAATTAAAAATATTTTGATTCCCATCGAGAATCCTTTTTTGTTTAGATAGAAATCGTGATAAAGATTGTACCTTTGAAGAATTCTGTAAACTTTTTGCTTTTCTTTTTCTTCCTACAATATTGATTCGTCATTCACAACTGTCCAATTGTCCAGCCTCCAACGGTGATTCACATAGAGAACAAAATTGCAACTACCAGGATTTTCTCCTTTTGTGCTAGCAAGAATAATTATTAAAAAACATGTGAGTTTAAAACCCTAGCAATGTAATTATATATAAGCCCAAACGGGTTTGATCCAGTCCGACCCAATATTTAATTAATCCATTTAATTAAATCCGATCCGTGAATTAATTAATCCAATTAATTAATTCGAGCCTATAAATAACCAACCCAATTAATTAATTTATCCAACGATTGTCAAATTAATTAATTGACAAATTGCAATCTTCCAATTCTCTTTTATGTGTGACCCATCAGGTTCCCGATCACGATACCTAACGACGTAAAATATTATTTTGAACTAATCAAAATTGATAAATTAAAACACTCTTTTAATTTATCACCAATTCACACTCACCGTCCCAGATTGACATCTAGCAATATGTCAGGGCAATATATGTGACGAGGAATATCATATAGTATGACAAAACCAAACTCGTTCGTTTACCGTGAAACTATAATCCCTTCATCAATATGATCCGATCAATTACGAGATATGGAATTGTGTCAATCCTGACTATCGATCATAATTTTTACTCCACTATTAAGTCAATATAAGTCGAAAACTCTTTTTCGACTTATAAGTACACATTGGCCAAGGATTTCGTTATCGACTTAATTGAATGAAACGCAGATCATAATCTCCTACTATCTAAGAGTGATGAATCATTTATTGATCAATCACAACCTTCATACGATTCTTGACATACCCGATGTCGTATTAGCGGTCCTTTGCAGAGCAACATCCAACACCGCTAAAGTATGACTGTCCTCATATAAGGTACTATGACAACCTCACGTCAAAGGACCAATTCCACTACCGAACGTTAGAGATTAACCATTGACACTCAGATAGTTATCCATGTGAAATCTCTCGACGAGTCTCCAATGTTTTGTTCTATAACAAAACATCAACGTATTCATTTAAGTGTCACCACACTTTAACTTGTGAGATCAGCTACTTACTTCACAAGTAAGAAATGTCACACGTGATGGTCTATCCGTAATAATGATATCCGTATCTTGTTATTACTTACGACCACGGACGATTTAAGATTCAATCAATGTAATTTGTATCTCACAATCACAACTCCTTGTGATTAACAAATTACGAAAATTTGAATCTACGGACTTTATTATTTATTTAATTGTCTATTAATTAAATAATAGATCTGCCATTAAATTGTATTAATTATATATCAAAAGTATTTATATCCAAAGTTGATTGGACCTAAGGTATAATACTTACATATATATGCAGAAACATTGGCAGAAACTGGGGGAGGAATAGAGAAAAGAAGCCATAGAAAAAGACGGCTAGAAGGAGGAGAATTCGACTGCCAATTGGTTGAGATTATACAAACATTGGGCTAATTTTTTATTTTTTATTTTTACCGATACAACACACGCAATTGACTAGAAGACACGCTGAAAAGATGGCTTTTGGGAGTTTAATTACACGCCAATTGGGGAAAAATATATCTACCTAGACAAGCCTCGCACGCGCAAAAGTGGAGAAATTTCGTGAAGTTAATCATGTCCCGTCAAATTTCGGTGACTTCCTTCCACTTTTATTTATTTAATCCCAACATTAAGCTAGGCTAAATATTTTCATGTATTGGATGATGACAAAATTATTTAATTTTTAGTTTTAATTCGAGACCTACGTTTTTATGTTAATTCTTACGTTGTGATTCCATTAATATGCCTATTTATATTGTTTTAGTGTTTGCGCACCATTAGGACAATAAGTTGCTTATTCGTAGTGTTGAAAAACTCACGGTAGATAGAACACTGTTATTGGAACACATGAACAATAAATATTAAGAATAATATTTGTGGCGTGTGCGATCTTATGTAATAATCCTAAATATTAATGCATGTTTGCCATATGAAGTCAGACTAGGAATAGGATCGTTTCATGGTAATTTTTAATTTTATTATATCTTGGGAAAGAATAATAAATAATAATAAAATTATCGATCGTCACAACTGCATATATTGAAATAATTATTATTGGTTCAGAATTAGAACTAAGAATTGATAGTGACGTCAAAAATCCAATACGTTCACACATTTGAATTTTTAACCAATTTTAATTATTTTCACAAGTTTTAGTTATAAAAATTATTTAGTTATTCCTTTGATCGTCTTTTAGTTACAAATACGAATTTAAATATATCAAATATACTAAAATTGATCATTATTTTCTGTAGGACGATAACTCTCTCATCACGATTATTACTTGTACAACAAACTCGTACACTTGCAGGATTTTGACGAACACACACTAAATATGCATCATGTCTATCATATCATCAATTCCTTTAGAGTTGAGTAAAGGATGTCATGTCAGTGATAACATCCAACATTTTTATAAATTCGGTGATCAAAACTTGATATGTGAAAGTTCAATGAGCAATGAAGACACATGCATGATTTCAGTGATTATTGGGACAATTAACTTAGTTTTTGAAGAATGGTAAACAATCACGAGCTTAATTAGAAGTTTCAAGAAAGAGCAAATTAATCATTTTCTTGATTATTTTCTACTTAACCTTCCAATAATTTAACAATTTCATTCAAAAATTCTAATAAAAGAACGTAAAATGTTTGCTTATCATATTTTTAAAAAAGTAAAAATATAACAAATATAAAAGTGTGACTAAATAATTACCTTGTATTTTAAACCGTGTCAATAGAACTTGATAATATTTACTAATTAATATAAATCCTTGTTTGGTGAGAATTAAAAACAGATTATTAGTAAATTTTAATAAAAGTTAATGGCATGGGTGATTGAAAAGTTATGGATTTCATGAAATATATAATTTAGATTAATTATTAAATTTGACTCAAATTTTAATCCCTACCAAATATGGGCTAAAGTTGATGATAAGAATGCAACCGAAAAAAATAAAAAATAAAATAAATAAATATTAAAGATATAAGTTTAATAAGAAATAAGAATTGGGGATATTTAATATAATTAAAAAACGATGCATTTATTTAAAAGAAAAAAAATTGATGTCAATATAATTATCATGTCGACTTTCAATTTATTTTATTGAATTGCAATAATAGAGAAAAAAAAATGTAAAATTCATTCCTCTATAATATCTTAGAGGTACGTAAATCCATTCCTTGTTCATATATTGACCTTAGAAATAAGGCTTCTAAATTACTTACTTATGGAATAATATTGAGCCCTGTTTGGTGGGGATTAAAATCAATTTTTTAGAAAATTTTGATACAAATTAATGAAATGTATGGTTGAAAAGTTGTGGGATCTATAAAATATGAAGTTGAAATGAATTGTTGACTTTGACTTAGATTAAAATCTAGGTTATTCGTACAAAATTAGGGCTGAATTTATAGTATCCAAATATTTTAAGGACAACCTCTACACTAGTCTAAAATTAAACTTTAATTCAGTATAATATATTATTTTCAGGTCTATATTGAGAGTAGAAATTTTCTCCAAGTGCATATAATAAGTAGAAAAAAACTGGGCAAAGTGTCAACACTGGTGGACGTGCCGGAGTGGTTATCGGGCATGACTAGAAATCATGTGGGCTCTGCCCGCGCAGGTTCGAATCCTGCCGTTCACGCTTTTTCTTTTTTTTTTTTTTTTTTTTTTTTTTTTTTCTTTTTCTTTTTTTCCTTTTTTTTTTTAGCTGCCCTTTATTTGCATTGGAAGCCATTTGAGCAGAAGGTAGTTATAGGAAAAAGGTCACTTAAAACTGATATTTTTCCATTTCCTTTTACCCCAAAGAATAGTAAAAAAATAACAATACAAAGAACGTCTTATTTTCGGATAAACAACAAATTATAAGTTACATTAAAATTCCTAAGAAAGAAAGGGCAACATTTGTCGTTCGTAGATGCCATGCCTTGAAATATTTACCAGTCGATAGCACTTAAATGGAGATTTATAGAATCGTGGTGCCTTTTACTTGATCCTTGACGATCGACTCTTTTGAGATTAGGTGCACTTTTACTTGCCGATCTCGTCATCAATGTTGCAATATTTGATAATCTTTATGGTACGACGAACTTAGGACGACGTAAGAAATTACAAATTGCATAAAAAATTCATGTTATTTGTACAATTAGTTAATCAAGGGCCAAATGCACACCACCTTAGCATATGTCAAACAAATGTTTAAAGAAACAATACGTACAAATAGCTTAATTGTATAAATTAAAGGAGGAAAAACAAAAAAGCTGATCACAAAAGGAGTCTGGTAGATTATTACTGCTTCAACCAATCAAAATAGGGTTTCAAAAAGCTTTCGCAGCCTTAGTTTTACTGAGAGTCTTCTGCACATTTACACTCATTACAGATTTGTACTGTTTTATTGAAGTAAGCTGATAAATACTTATAGGCTGCTATGCTGGTACTTATAATTACTAACTACTTACTGCTTTTTTTTTTAGCATTCTATTTTTATATCTTTTTCAAGATTTTTTAATAGGTCCTGAAGTGGATTGCTGACTCCCAGTTAAAGAAAGTTTTCAGAGGCATTCCTTGTGTTTCAGCACTTACAAGAAACAAATAAAATCTATTTAAGGAAATGCCCTTCATCAGAATTAATTTCTAGGGTTTGCAAGATTGAAGTACGTACAAGTTAAGCTTCTGTAAATCATGTACTTAGTTCTTGAATGGGTTCTAATTCACAGTTTATTATTAAAGATTGGAACTTGGAAAAATTTATTTTGTAGAAATGTTTTCAAATTGGAAATCGACACAGATTGCTGGCGAAATAAAAAGCGGTGTACAATCACTCGAATTCCTTCAAATGCAGTTTATAAAGAAATATTTGGTGCAAATAGCCATGGGTCAGTTGAGGGATTGGTTTTAAGTCATTTTCTTGTGTAGTAGATTAGGGTTTTTATTTTCTTTAGAAACGAGAACTACCTAGGGTTTTGATTATCGGTTGGTTGTTTTCCCTCTTTAATTATTCGATATTTTTAAATAAATCAGTGAATATACGATTCTTGATATCACGGTGTTGTAGAATCATTGACGTGATTTTCATTTTTCGCAAGAAAAATGAACCATCTTCTTTGCTTACATTATTTTTCCTATACCGTACTCGAGTATTCATTTAATTGAGACCTTCCACGGAGCATGAACTACTGTTCTAGCTCTTCTAGGAAGAATTCGATTTAAAATTATGAAAACAAAGTTTATGGCTGGCTATATTTCATAGTAGTGATGAATCAATGCTGTGTTCTATAAGATTTTGATGAAATACTTGTGCTTTGAGAAGAAAAATCTTAAGCTAATGAACTATTGATTTTTAACCTAGCTAGTTATCAAAGATTTGCAATTACACAACCCTTAGTGATTAAAAGCCACTAAATGGCAGTTTGGCAAGGCTTTAGAAAAATCAAAAGTTGTGTTTGAACCTGTTTCGATAATTTTTTTTGCTTTTTCTACGGGAAAATATTTTAGAGGAAGCCAAACTATAGCAACAAGTAGAAGCAGAAGCCTTGTCATCAAAAGGGATATCAAATAATTTTCTCATAAATAATTTTTTTTTATTAATACCACAAACCCACAATTCATATCCATCATTCTCAGAAGAAAAATTAATGAACTCATGAATAACAAAGATCAGAGACTGAAATTCAGAAATCAGAACATGTATGGTTCCATTTTGAAGGTGAAAATAGATTGAGAAACAAAAGGGTAATCAAAAAGCAGTGTTTAATTTCTTGATAACATAACTTTCACATAAATGTGAAAAGACAAACTGCTAATAAGAAAGCTTAAGGGACAGATCAAGAGAAGTGGATGCATCAAAACCAGTTTCTCTTTCTCCATCTGCATAAGAAGAAGCTTCTGAATTAACCCCCAAATTCATCATCCCAACTTCATTGTTACTAGTGCTTCTACTTCCGGGAAAAAATTCATATTCCATCAACAAAGTTCCATTTCCTGTACTTGAATTTCCCTTCCTGTGAAATGCCACTACCTCCACACCCTACAGTTCATAAACAAAATTTATATGTCAAATCTTTGGTGTTCTACTATCGCGATAGAATAATAAGTTCAATAAGGCTCACCGACTGGCAATTGCGAACCGAATAACAGGCATGAGGGATGATTGGTGCTTGTATTCCAACTTCTTGATTTTCTTGGTTCATACTTTGATTATCTCCAACATTTAATCCTAAAAAGTCACAGTTACCCGTTGGAGACATCTGCATATACATGCTTGATTTTGCTCTACTGCACCCCGAAGTTTCGCCATTAGATCTCTTCTTCTGCAAAGACAAAAAAAAGGGGGAAAAAATGAAAAAAAAAAATGAGCCATGGCGTGTTAAATTTCAAGATTATGCTTGAAAGTTTTTGAGAAGAAGGGGTACCTTGTGACAAAGATTACAGTGTTCATAGTAGTGTTTAAAGCCATTTGGTGCTGAAGAGAGCTCTTTCGAGTTCTTCGATCCCCCAACTCCAAACGGATCCACTTGAAACTGTTCTTGAAAACCAAAGAAACCCTGATTCTGGTTCGAGCCCATATGCCCAACACCCCCATTCACAGTCCCAAACCCACCCAACTTTGCAAACTGCATAGGAACAGAATTAGGATTCATCAAAGCGAGATTAGAAAGAGAAGATGGATTCATGGTTAGGGTCTGGTTAGTGTGGTTTTTTAACCCTTCTTGCGCCCTGAGCTTCTCAAGCTGAGCCACCCCCATGCCTCTCAGAGGCTTCTTATTTTTCTTGCCCATGGCCTCATTACCTTTCGTCTTTCTTCTTCCAGTACTGTGTCGTATTGGCTGGTGATCATCATCTTCAGGCAAATGAATACTTGTTTGTGGGTTTGTGTTTGTGTTTGTGCTGTGATCAGAGGCCATGAATACAGTAGTAGCCATTGATTGTACACAGTGAGAGAAGGGCTTAGAGAGATCTAGAGAGAGAAAAGAGGCAACCAACCAGTCCAGAACTAGGAACAGCTGAGAAATGCAAAATGGGCATAGGACATGCGTATATATACTGCTTGTGTTTTGATTCTTGAAGCTTTTTGTGTGTCCATAACAGCAAAGTTGATAATGCCACCTTTATTTTCACTTTTACCAGAGTTGTTGTTCTTCTGTATTTTGTAACACTTTATGGTTGGTATGAACCTTTGTTGGAAAATGATTAATGAACATTCAGGGCCCACACGTTTTTAAAAGTCGGAAAGTTACTTTTAAAGTTTAAAAATTATCTTTGAACATTATTGAATAATCTTTTGAAAATATTTTGTCTAATTAGAATAGTCGAGCTTTTATAGGAAATTGATTTAAGAACACTCTTTTATAGGACGCTGATTTAAGAAAACTTACTCAAAAAGTAAAAAATAGAAATTGAAGCTTGCCAAACTGGCCTTTAGACTCAACGCAAACATTTTTAATTTTTAAAAGAACCAAAAAGAAAAGGTTGATCATACGAGAGAGAATTTAAAAGGAATAGAGTTGACTGTAAGTCATTGATAGCTTTGGTCAAAAATTAATTTTTTTGTAAATTTTGATAAAAATTAAAAAGCTAATAAAATTTGCGAGTAGCATGAATGCATGATTGAAATAAATTTTTTTTTAAATAAAAAATAAAAAATGGGAGCAAAACATGGATTTAGTATCTGTTTGAGCCTCATTCTCTAAATATTTATTTTTTTCGAACTTATTTTCAACCACTAATTCTTTCAATAAAATAAATTTTCTTGTAAACTCAAAAAAATTTCTCACTTTTTAGTTACATGTTCTACAAATAAATCATTAATATAAAATTTATTCTCCCAAAAAATTGACTCTAAGCCCCTGTTTCATGAAAAAAAAAATTCAGTTAATAATTAATTTTAACAGTATATTTTATAAATATTATAATTTTTCAATCACATATTTCATCATTTTTTATTAAAATTTACTAAAATCTAATTTTAACCTCTCCGAACAAATGCTAAGTAAATAAAATGTAGAACAAGTGAAAATGATAGGGGGATCATTTGGTGTATGCACAAATCACAGTATATTTTATAAATATTATAATTTTTCAATCACATATTTCATCATTTTTTATTAAAATTTACTAAAATCTAATTTTAACCTCTCCGAACAAATGCTAAGTAAATAAAATGTAGAACAAGTGAAAATGATAGGGGGATCATTTGGTGTATGCACAAATCCCTAAAATTTCATGCAGAGCAGACCATTATCTACCTCTCAGAACCACCAGAATCCATTGTGTCTGCACAAAATAATAAAAATAATAATAATAAAATAACATCCAAACACATCCTATCCTCTACCAAACAACCCCTCCACGTCGCTTTACCCCAGCCGCCTTATAATCTTTTCTCCTCTTACGAGTAAAGATAATCTACAACGCCAACCCAACCTAACCATGTGGACCCACACACAAGCTCGGGGGACCATTCTGTTCATCTTTTCGACTCTATTCTAACTTCAAGCTCTGTTTGGCCTCAATTTTAAGTGGCCCCCATATGTTGACGTGGCGGGCTCTGATTAATTTAGATCTTCACACATTTTCATGATTAGAGGGAGCTGGTGCACCGTACACACCCTACAAGAAAGAAATTTGAGAGATCTTACACTAAGTGGTTTTGGTAGGTCATGCTGTTTGGCTTTTGCACTAGTGACTCGATCACTCAAGTCTACAAATTATTTAAAAAGTATAAGATGGACTAAAATTTGCATTATCAATTTACTACTTTAAAAAGTAAAGAATTGGTAGCTCTTTTTTTTTTAATTATGAATTTTTATACCCATTTCCTGGTTTTTATTCTGTTAAAATAAAGCCCCTTCACGGTTTAGCTAAAAATTAAATTTTAACAAATTTTAATTAAAAAAAACGGACAACGAGATGTGTGGTTAAAAAGGTCATATAAATTGTGGGTCGATGAAACGTGTAGAAAATAAGTATAAAAAAGGAGTCAAATATGGACTGATTTGATCCTTTCTTGGAAATGTGCATGTGGAGTATGGTGGTTTTTTGTGCTAAAAAGAGTTTGATTTGGAGATAGAGAAGAATTATGAGGTCTATAACCTATACTCTATTGGCAAAGATTTCATGACAAGGAGATGCAACGAGTCCTTGTGCGTGTTTTCTAGGTTCTTTCCAAATGGATTAAACATGATAAAAAAGACAAAGATTCAATATAGTTAAATCATTCACCACTACCAAGATCTTATGGAGCGAATAACTAGTAAATGACTCCCCAACAAAATATATACGATGATTCACGTACTCGAGTGTGACAAAATTTAGAATTACTGTATGCTCACCGTAATCTCCGTTATTTATTTAAACTTGAGAATTACTATGAAGAGACATTGGTAGAGTAATACAACGCTCAAAAAATAAAAATAAAAAACAAAAGTAATTTTGAAGGCATGAATCATTGTTTTTAAACATTAAACGAACTAAACCAATCAGATGAGCTTGAGAAACGCCAACCCTATAACGACATGAATTCAAGTACTTTAATTATACAGGTTCGCGAGTAGTTCGATACTAACCCATTCAAATCGGACAAGTTTGACATGGAATCAGTGACCTAAGAGTCGAGTCCAGTCGCAAACCGCCCACAGTATTTCATTGTTTTTGTTTCCTAGTTCCTAAACGAGCAATGTGAGCCACGAAAAATATCTGGTTCAGCTTGTCCCATGGCTCGCCTTCAAGATGGGACGAGTCAAGCTGACGAACGGCTTGCCCCACTTAAATCCCTACTTCAAAAATATACAATATTTCCATTCTTAATTTACCTTTTCTAAAAAAATTATTGTTATCCATGCTTTCCTATTTAAGTAATTCGATACAACTCCATAAGCAATTTAGAAATGTTTAAATTATAAAAAAAACAACATTCTAAGGAATCAAAACAAACCCTAAAAGAAATGAAAGACATGGCAATGAATATATTAATAAATATGGGAAAAGTAAACCTCATATTAATCTTTCACTTAACTTGAAATAATAAAGAATTACTTAAAATTCATTTTTCAGTTGTAAGACATCTCAAATATTACAATTGTCAAATAGTTACTCCTTCTATTTAATTTAAACATGTATATTTTAGCTAAACTTCGATAATGAAATAGTGACCTACTAACCCTGTGCTTCAACCAGGTCACTGAACAAATCAACTTTGGAAACTATGGTATGAATAGTTTCTGACTATAATACAAATATGATTAACAATTGTTTAGCTACACTTCTAACTTCTAAGTCGTTCCTTTTCAATTTGGCTGATTAATTTTTCAATCAAAAAAAGAATTAATACTGAAATGTGGTGGGTGTTTACCCTAAGGATGGTGATGGCTTATAGTAACTGTTAGCTGTGGCTTTATACAACTTCTGTGAAGGTTTAACTAATTATGGCAAACTTGCCAAAGATCCCCTCTCCCCTCATCACTTTTAGAGAGAGAGAGAGAGCAAATCTCAGTTCAGATTCATATCTGCAATATTACTTCCTCCTCTTTACTCTCTCTCACGCAGGATCATTACAGTTTCCTACAACACTGCAAAGTCTATCTGAGTTTCACAGATTATCTCGTACTACATGCCTTAAATGAATTTGGGTTTTGAGGATAAATCCAAACCGTCCGTATGTACACATCAAATAATTAGAGATGGATATACAGTTACACCTATTTCTTGGAGGGTACAAATTCAATTGGCCCAATTCATGCATAATAAAGCAAGTCACTGTCACCTCTTTGTCGTGTTTGTACCATGAGAGAGTAAATACTAACAAAGGTCTTACCCAGAAATAAAACAGATATGTCTGGGAGATGTCTGCTGCATGTGGTCCTCAAGGTGCCATTTGCTGCAGCTCTTCATTCTACATTTACTCTCATTTTAATAAAATCCACATCAATCTTCCATAGTTTTCTTATCCTATCAACAAATTAAATAAGGATTCAGCTTCATTATTAAAAAAAAAAAAATGCAATACATGGTATAAAATGCAACAGTTTAGGACCTCATAAATCGGCAATTTGATTACGACTTTGTAAGTTTGATCTCAATGTAACCCATGCAGACTACGACTTTGCAAGCAAGGCGGCCAATCAACTTAATTTTGGCAATGCCATTATTAACCCTGCAACTTCCATTTTACATGTATATGATTTTGTTTTTAGTTAATTTGTAATACTTTATGATTCATTAAACTCAAAATAAGGAAGAGTAGAGTTCAACAGGACGTGTTTCTCTTAGCAATTGGCAGTATCCTGACATCATAATCCTAACACTACTAAGGACAAAACAACACTTGGCAGTGGTGGACCAGTGATAAGTGTCAACCTTACAGAGACTATCTTTATGAGGTAGAATATCTTGACGAAGATAGTAAAGTTCTCCTTATGATGGGTAGTTTGGCTTCAGTTGATTGTCTAAAAATCGTCAACAAGCCAGTGCCTTGAAAACTTCATGGCAGTTCTTTTTTGTTGTCAAGTAAAGCATTCTTCTTGGACTGGAGAATTTACTTAAAAATGGATAGTTAAACTATCGAGAAGCAGATAATTAATCAATTTAAGAAAAGAAAAGAGTTGCGCTGCCAAAGATCTGCATTCTCTGGATAGAACTTAGCCTCCACAACTTCAACAGATGCCTAAACTCTAACAAATGGTCTTTAGTTGATTTTGATATGCATAAAATATATCGAAGAGCAATCATTAGAATGCATGTTGGAAATGCACACATTTGGCGAAGTCTCCGATGTGCCTGACATATGATACGCTAATCGAATATTTTTCCCCAGATTTTCAAGTTTTCAGGTAGGCATGATAATCATCGTCATTGTTCCTCAAGAGATTGGATGTAGAGGTGTGAAAAGATAAGTATATCTGTATTATAAGCAAAAGCTAATACAGTTTATGTATCATTAGTTACAGTATTACAGCTGTTCTTGTGTGGCATTCTACAAGCAAGGTATATGATCCACACATCCTCCATTTTCCTGGTGCAATGCACCATTTGGGAAGCATACCTAAAAAAGAGTTGACACACACAAGTCACCTTCAATGGTACAATTCTAATTGGCCGAACATAGCATAAAATAAAGAGCATATAATCAACTGCCAGATGGCAAAAGTTAGAATACTAATTCAACTGAATAAATTCAAACTAACGTGATTAGCACAAAAACAAAAACTATACCTCATGAAAGTCAAATTACAATCCTGAACTTTTGAACACCTATAATTCCCGTAATAGCATCTGCAAACACATTGTGAAGGAATTAGAACAGAGAAGGGAGAGGAGAGACTCATCGAATTACAATCAAGAAAAGAAATCTGGTCGAATTGATTTTCAGGATGTAAAGATAGAGCTAATTTCCAAATGAAGTGGATGAAACAATTTTCCAATAAGTACTTTTCAAGCTATTGACGTTTCATTTACATCAGAATACACTTTCTCTTTTTATAGAAAATATGGGAGAAAAGTTTGCATTAAGAAGTGATCGTGTTTCAAAGGATGCCTTGGCATCGTCTCAGAAAGGGATTCCTCGCAGTAAGGCACCTTCTCCATTAGGCTTCTTCCATCAAACACGCTCTTGCTTGCAATTGCACCCAGTTTTAAATATCAGGACAAATGTAGCAAAGAAAACTTTAAGAAGATAACGGGTAAACAAAGCATCATTCGATTGGTTACATAAACAATGAACAATTTTTTATTTTTTTTTATAGGTAATCAAATATTTTATTAATCACGGATAAAACACAGGCAGTGTATTAGCAATTAATACAAGAAATAAACAACTTAAAATTGGGCAACCCGTATAGTAGCCGCAGCATTAAACCAAGTATACAATATCATATAAAATAATTTTTTAATCTGCTCAGTTATCCGTGTATGATCATCAAAACAATGAATAATACAATCTAGAAACTTATTGCAACAGGATTTAATTTAGGGCTATGTGTTATAAGTACATGGTGGTTGTTGTAGCTTCATCATTTACGTTTTATAAGGTATGTCAAGTAATATTACTCTAGCTTGGTGTTCTGCTAAAAAAACTAGCATTATCCTAGTGATTTTGGGTTACAACTAGCATTTCAGAATCATAAACTTGAACTCCATCACAAATTATCGTCTTGCTGTATCTTGAGGATGCCTGATGTGCTTATGAAATCAAAGCATAAAGGCTATGAGAATAGAGATGTTGCTTCTGGTACATGGATGAGAAACAGGAATAATAGATATCCTACAATTGATAATGCTTAAATGAAATGCCCCATCCAGCTTTCAGTAATCATAAAACGAAATTAAAATTTCACTTCACAATATCCATAGCTGATATCATCGTTTCCTCATCATGTGTTCAAATAGAAACACACAACTGTAACTAACACATTAGCTGCACAATGTCTACAGATCTTTTCATCCAGAAAAGCTAAGTCAGAAGAGTAATAATATTATCCTACACTGTACAGAAAAACACTAGAATCAACTTCAACAAAAACTTGGGAACTTCTTGTATTATAATGGTACATCATAAGCCAGTCTATATGATGTTTTTACCTTCAGTTTTTTTATTAAGCACCATATATCTCATTGTTCGAGTAGAAGAAGTTCGAGGTTCAAGTTTCACAATTATATGACGGCCACCTACTGATACACGTTGTAACTTGTAATTTGAACCAGAAACATGAATTAATTATTATTATTATAAAACTCAAAACAAGGGAAAAGAAAAGTGCTCTGTACATAGTTTCCATCATTTTCAGATTTTATGCACTGTGCGCCACACAAGTAATCATATATAACCTTCCTAAACAAAGAAAAATTAATATCCAAACTCACATTATATCGTGATAATGTTTGATCTCGTCAAACGTAAGAGGAATTAGTCACAAAATTCATAGCTTACAAATAGAAATTACAACAAAAAACGTCCTAAATTTTCAACAAACATATGAGCACACACGTACAATATGTACCTCCTGAGAGAATTTGATGTAACATAGCAACGTAAATTGATTCACTGAACACCGGATCTTTTAAAACCAAACCCATAGCCTATGGCGATTTTCTCGATCATTTAATTCACCGAGCTCAACAGTTCCCCAACCCCATCGACTTTCCATCAGTTTAAGTTTCTTCGTTGGGATTAGGCAAGATGATCTTCGCTTGGTACGATGACGTTTGAATGAATGGTGGGGCCGCCAGGGGTTCTTCAGAAGAAGGGTGATTTAGGTATCCGATGGGGAGTGGCCGTAAGGGGGGTGGAGATGTAGTGCGGCAGAGAGAGAATTCATTAGGTGGCTACTGGCGGAAGGCCTCTCCAGACTCCCAGAGGCAGTGACCCGTTGGATCGTATTTTCCCCGGGAAACCCAAATTATGATATTTGTTGATTTTATTTTTTTTTCTTTCAATTTTCCCAGAGAATTTTGCGATGGTAGGATTAACATGTATTGTTGTGCTAATAAATTATTGAGGCATTTTCAAGAATGTCCAATTTTAAGGGTATGAGTTGAAAAGTGTCCACTCATATAAATTTAGTGTCAATTTGTCTATTATACCCTTAATGAAAAGTTACATTTTGAAATGGTATTCTCGACATTTGATTTTTTTATCAATTTATCACGAATTTTGAGAAGTGACTTCCATGAGAAGTTATATTAAAATAAATTCGGACGACAAAAAAAAAAAAAAATATATATATATATATATATATATACCTCCGTGTCAGGGAGACATTCTCGACATTTCCCTTCGTGTCATGGAGACATTCTCAACATTACATATATCATTCTCAACATTTGAACACTGTTTCATTAAAAAAATCGAAAAAATCACGTTTCCGTGTCACGGAGACATTCTCGACATTTACCTCCATGTCACGGAGACATTCTCAACATTTGAATACCGTTTCATTAAAAAAAAATGAAAAAATCACGTCTCCGTGTCATGGAGACATTCTTGATATTACATATGTCATTCTCGACATTTGAACATCGTCTAATTTGTCTAGAATGACATTTTATTTTGAACATGACATTTTTCTACATTTGAAAATGTCGTTCTCGACATTTCTGAGTCAACGAAAAATATAACATTTATTGTTATTTGACATGTATACTTTTGAAATAAATATGGCAGGTTATGTGTCAAAATTTTATTCGCCAATAACAATTTTGCAAAAATGTCCATTTTTTTGTCTTAGTGTGGAATTAAAAATTGTTAATAAGGGTATTTTGGTCTAAATTTTTCCAAATTGGACATTTTTGCAATGATTTGCAATGATGGACATTTTTGCAAATGACTAGGTAAAAAGGACATTTGATGAAATTTCCTCTAAATTATTTTCCTTAAAAGTAGAGCCCCCGTTTGACTCCCATTACATTAAATTTCATTAAATTTTATTTCTCTTTCTCCTATTTTTAACCACACAATTTCTCATAAAATAATATTACATGTATATCGAAAATTTTTACTTCTTTTTCGATCACTCATTTAAAAAAAAAAAAACACTATTCCGCTCATTTCTACTTCAAAAAATGGGGGCCAAACGGGAATTCACACTGTATCTTTGAAAGTGATATAATAAATAATTTTAAAGTAAGTTTAATTTATTTTCAATTAGCATGAAAACATAAGTAGGTATATGGGTTAAATCCAATGTTTTAAACTCGGAGCGAGCATCGACCCGGTAAACAAAAAAGGTCTCGGGTCAAAAGGTTCAATCGGAATTGAATCGGGGTCAAACCGGAGGAAATAAATAAATATTTATAAACATTTAAATTTTATTTTCACAACAATATATAATTAAATTTTTACACTATCAATTCAAAATAAATACAAATATGTCAAATGTATGTTTTTAATATAAATTTTAATAGTTTTTATTTTTAGATTACTTAAAAACTCATTTCAATTTTACTAAATAATTTGTAAGATTAAAAAAATATTTAGTAATATATAGAAAATGAGTAACTTAAGTGTGCAGTCATGCGCTTTATTAAGTTCGTCAATCTCATATTGAAAGTGTGTTTTATTAGAGGTCCATTTGATTGTAAAGATATAATTTAAGTGGAAAGAAAACGAATCTTAGGGGATTGAATTGTCTAGAAATTGGTTTACTGAAATTGTTAATTATTGTATTTGATTGATATAATTTTTCACTTGAAAAATGTTGAAGTAAAAATGTCTTTTAGTATTCGTTTGACTTTATTTTTATGAAAATTGTCAATTTAAGGGATATTCAATTCTACAATTATTCCTAGAATTTGTTCACAAAAAAAAAAAAAATCTATGTTTTGGTGTTCGTTTGACTTTTACAATTATTCCTAGAATTTGTTTCCATTGGCAAAATTAAAAAATCGAAAAACTGAAAAAAAAAAAAAAAAAAAGTTGGAATTCAAAAAACCACCACACAGGTGGGAAAACCAATTCAATGAAAAGGGAGAAAATATGACCGTATAGAGGAAAAGTGGAAAACCAATTCCCTAGAACTTTTTGCCTTATCAAACACCGAAAAAAGTGGAAGATGGAAATTCTTTTCCATTTTCCATGGAAAAGAAGTTGTATCAAACATAGCCTAAATTTTGTCAATCTCGCATTGGAAGTTTATCAATTATGGAATTCAAGAAATGGTTATAAAAAAGCTCCATAGGTAAAAAAGTGAGTATATGGGTTTCCATCTTTAAAGTAACCTTTTTATTATATAATTTTTTTTCCTTAAAAAAGTTAGGGAAACCGGTCCATAATCGTAACCGGTTCCCGATTTTCGGTTTAATTGACCGGTTTTCTAGTTATTTGAATGGTTATTAAATAACCGGTTAATTTAGTATAGTGGGACCGAATTTTGGTTCGATTCCCAGTTTTACCGAACATTGGTTAAATTCATTAATGGTCGTCCAAATTTATATTTATGGGAGTGTATTTTATTAGAACTTTTAAATATTTTTATAGACTTTTTTAAGTGGGTGACTTTTGTGAATTTTATAGACTTTTAAGTGAATTCTTTGGATTTGTTAAAACCTAATAAAAGTCTTCTATGAACTTCTGTAGACTTTGATTAAAAAATTTTAGAGACTTTTCATCTTGCGAATTCATTATATACGTGAAAAATAATAATATTTCTTACTACCTAATTAATATTTTTGAGAACCACGATACAAAAAAATATATATATATTTCTTGGGTAAAGTCACCAGTCACGATCCAATCATTCAATTTTGACGCAAATTAAATAAAAAAATTACATCAATTTCTAAAAAACATAACCAAAATTTTTTCATGCTCTTAACATAATTTCTGAGAACACAAATTATTCTTAATCCAAAATAAAATAGAATAGATCAATTACATGGAATTCTACGTTTTGAAACAACTGTATATAAATTCAATTAAAAAGTAATCATGTACATATAAAATAATTATAGATTGATCACGGCAAATAAATTGAAGAGACGTGAGAAAAACATAAAATTGAAATAAAAAATAAGTTCTTTTTTGAGCTTTGAAATCTTCACAAATCTCAGTTTATATGAGATATTTTATTTGAAATTTGTTATTACATTTTTCACTAAAAAGTCTCTAGAAGTCCAATAAGGTAAAGATTTTTTCAAAAGTCATTGTCAATTTAAATACCTCATAACTTATAGAAACTTCTAAAAAGTTTCATTTAAATACCTTGTAACTTTTAGAGACTTATAATAAGTCTATGGGAATCTCAATTAAATATATCTAAACTTTTAGGAAAACTTTAAAAATCACAATGAATACTCCTACACATTTTAAATTCTTAAAA